GTCCCCGGCCTAGAAATAGCGGAGTTTGGTCCTTCTATTGTAGTACCTCTAGATTCGTTGTTTTTATGCAGCCATTCGAACTGGTGCTGCTTCTCGTTTATCATCTAAAAATTCGAGGCTAGTATTCATAGCCTCGTGGTTTGACTCTTCCGATGTATGTTGGAACCTTGCGCTGGGTTCTCCGATTTCGACTGGGATTAAAGCTTCGGAGCCATACACTAAGGAAAAGGGAGTCGCTCCCGTACTGGATTTAGATGTTGTCCGATATGCCCAAAGGACCTCGGGCAGAATTTTTCTCCACTTTCCTTTAGCTTCAATCAATCTTTTCTTCAGGTTTTGGATGATAGTTTTGTTCGTTGATTCGGCCTGTCTGTTCCCACTAGGATGATATGGTGTTGACAGTATTCTTTTTATTTTATGGTCTTCGAGAAATTTTGTCACTTTACCGCCGATAAATTGCTTACCATTGTGATATGCTATTTTTGCTGGTATCCCAAATCGACACACGATGTGATCCCAGATGAAATCTATAGCCTCTTTCTCTCTCACTTTTTCGAACGCCTGTGCTTCAACCCATTTTGGAGAAATAGTCAGTCATAAACAAAATGAATTTAGCTTTACCTGGGGCCGATGGCAGAGGGCCGACACTATCCATTCCTCATTTCATGAATGGCCATAGAGAAATAACCGAATGAAGCTGCTCTCCGGGTTGATGGATCATCGGTGCAAACCTTTGACATTTATCGCATTTTCGAACAAACTCCTTAGTGTCTTTTTCCATGCAATCCCAGTAGTATCCTGCTCTGATGATCTTGCGAATTAGTGGTTCAGCGCCGGAGTGGTTTCCACATGTGCCTTCATGGATCTCTCGTAAAACATAATCGGTGTCTCCTGGTCCCAAGCACACTGTCAGTGGTCTGTCAAACGTCCTTTTGTAAGGCGAAATCATTCTTCTTTTTGAGTAGAGAGAAGAATTTGTGGCTTCGATCTGACGACCTTGAAATGAATCGGCCTAAGGCAACTATCCGTCCGGTTAGCCTTTGTACTGCTTTTACATTATCCATGACAGTGATGTCTTCGATTGCCTTGATTTTGTCAGGGTTGATCTCGAACCCCCGATTCGATACCATGAAACCAAGGAACTTTTCCGATCCAACCCCGAAAGCACATTTCTCGAGGTTGATCCTCATATTGTATTTCCTTAAAATTTTGAATGTTTCCTGCAAATGAGTCAAATGGTCCTCTACGCGCAGGGACTTAACTTGCATGTCATCAATGTAAACTTCCATCGACTTACTTATTTGTTTTTCGAACATTTTATTCACTAGGTGTTGGTAAGCAGCTCCTGTGTTTTTTTAGCCCGAATGGCATTACATTGTAACAATAGGTTTCATACTTAGTGATAAATGAAGTTTTTTCTTGGTCCTCCGGGTTCATGCAAATTTGATTGTACCCGGAATTGGCATCGAGAAACATGAGGATCTCGTGGCCGGCTGTGGCATCGATCAAGCGATCGATGCGTGGCAGTGGAAAAGAATATTTGGGGCATGCTTTATTTAGATCTTTATAGTATACACACATTCTAAGTTTGTTCCCTTTTTTGGAGACTACAACCATATTGCCTAACCATTCTGGATATTTTACTTCCCGAATTGACCCTATTTTGAGAAGTTTAGTTACCTCATCCTTTACAAATGCGTGTTTTACCTTGGACTGAGGTCTTCTTTTTTGCTTCACCGATTTGAACCTAGGGTCCAAGCTTAGCCGGTACGTTGTTATCAACGGTGGGATCCCCGCCATGTTTAAATGGGACCAAGCAAAATAATCTATGTTATCAATAAGAAATTGAATAACTTTTTTCCTGAGTTCAGGGGTCGACCCCGTTCCCAGGTATACCTTTCTCTTGGGCAGATGTTCGATTAATATAACCTACTCCAGCTCTTCGATTGTTGACTTGGTGGCGTCGGAGTCATCGGGGACGATAAAAGCTCGAGGTGTCGAAAACTCTTCCTCGTCATCTTCTCTTTCCTGCTTCACCGATTCGGTCGAGACTGGTGGCAGTGATTGCTATTTGGTTTCTCGTCTATCTTTTGTGCTTGATCTTTCTGAGGCCGATAATGTTGGTATCGGTGTTACCTCATCGACCGCAAACATTTCCTTCGCATCATGTTGCTCCCCATATACTATTTTCACACCGTCCGACGTAGGGAATTTCATCACTTGGTGGAGAGTCGAAGGCACTGCCCTTATATTGTGGATCCAAGGCCTTCCGAGTAGGGCGTTGTACCTCATGTCGCCTTCGATTACATGAAACTTGGTATTTTGGATGGTTCCAGCCACATTCACGGGCAGAATAATTTCCCCTTTAGTTGTTTCACTGGCCATATTGAAGTCGTTTAAGACCCGAGCTATGGGCACGACTTGATTCTGTAAATCGAGCTGCTCCACTACCCAAGATCGGATGATATTTATAGAGCTACATGGATCCACTAAGACACGCTTAACTTGAACTTTATTTAATAGGATAGAAATTACAAGAGCGTCGTTGTGAGGTTGAGAGATGCCCTCGGCTTCTTCAATTACGAATGATAAGGTGCCCTCGGGTACATAACCTCGAGCTCGCTTTTCCCCTGTGGACTGTATCTTGCCGCGTTTGAGCACGGGTCCCTGTGGAGTATCGACCCCACCAATGATCATATGAATGATATGCAGAGGTTCCTCTTGTTTGTCTTCTTTATTGGCGTCCCTTTCTTTGAAGTGATTCTTGGCTCGGTCACTGAGGAACTCTCGAAGGTGGCCCTCATTGAATAGACGAGCTACCTCTTCTCTTAATTGTCTGCAATCCTCGGTCCTGTGTCCATGCGTACCATGATACTTGCACATCGAATTCGGGTTCCTTTGGGAAGGGTCGGTTTGCATGGGTCTGAGCCACCTAGTATCTTTGATTCTTCTGATCGCTGATACAATGCCTGATGCATCGACGCTGAAATTATACTCTGATAGCTGAGGTGCCTCTATAGGATCGGCATATTTGTCAAAGCCACTCTTGCTCATAAGCTCCCGAGAATTTTGTCCTCGATCACTCCTTCGTTTGTTCTGAGAGGCATTGCACGTTGAACCGTTGTTCATTCAATCTGCGACGTATGGTTGATATCGGTCTGTGTTTGACCTTTGCTTTCTGTTGATGTCCCTCTGGTTTTTAATAGCTGACCTGTTCTGATGCATGGATCCGGAAGGAGCTCATAACTGGTCGTCCTTGACCCTAATTTTTGACTGGTATCGGTTGTGTAAATCCGCCCAAGCTATTGTTGGATACTCGATCAAATTTTTCTTCAGCCAACATGATGCTATCAAACTTTGCTCGTTCAACCCTTGGGTGAAAGCTTGGACGGCCCAGTCGTCTGTGACCGGTGGCAATTCCATGCGTTCCATTTGAAATCGGGACACGAACTTTCTCAGCATTTCATTACCCCTTTGTTTTACTTTGAAGAGGTCAGATTTCCTTGTTGCAACCTTTATGGCACCAGCGTGTGCCTTTACAAACGAATCCGCTAACATGGAAAATGAATCGATGGAATTTGGTGGCAGGTTATGATACCAAATCATCGCCCCCTTCGACACGGTCTCTCTGAATTTTTTCAACAAAACGGATTCGATCCCATCATCTTCCAAATCGTTACCCTTGATGGCACGTGTGTAAGAGGTGACGTGTTCGTTAGGATCGGTCGTACCGTTATATTTGGGAATTTCGGGCATACAAATTTTTTTGGGGATTGATTTTGGGGCTGCACTCGAGGGAAAAAGTTTTTGCATGAATTTTTTGGAATCCAACCCTTTTATTATTGGTGGATCCCCCGGGATCTTACCGACCCTAGAATGACATGTTTCTACTTTTTTATCGTTGGCTTCGATTCGCTTTGTGAGCTCCTCAAGTATTTTAGCAATTTAGGGAGTAGGATTGTATCATTATAAAAATCCAATCTTGAGAAATGAACTTGTATCAGGGAATACAAGGAGGCAGTGAAGGAGCTAAGCATTTGCATGGCCTTTGCACCAGAAGAAGAGTCACAAGTTTTAGAGAAATTACACTTGTTGTGTTTGGAATCTTCATGGAAATCTCTTGGACATAAAGATCACTTATCAGTTCCTTAGACTTGTTTTGGTGAAAATCGTGAGCTCTTGGTGACTTCTTGAGCCAATATACAAAGTTATATAAAGAATACACAACCAATAGGGCTTTATCTGTAGTCTTTATTTATTTATTTATTATTTGACTTTTGTAAATAGTTTCCTTGGACCAACCTTCTTTGCATTGTTTCAATGAATGGCCTATTTAGAACAGCTATCTTGCCTCTCACAGCTAGACATTCTTCAAAAATAAGTTCCTTCTTCATATGTTGGATATGCGAATAAAGTTCGACATTAAAGTTATAAGGTGCGACGCTACTTCTGATGCATGGAGCCTTTAGGGAAAATCATGTAGGTTTGGTCCAAAGCAGACATGTTAAGAGTGTCTTTGGACTAACTTAGCCCAACCATGTGGTCAGCAGGCTTAAAGAATACTAAGCATACAGTTTAAGCTATGCTTAAACGTGCTTATAGCTAATCGAGGATAATTAGTAAAAAATATAGCTTTTAACTTTTTAAACTAAGCTTATTCTAGCTTAGTAAGCTACAGCCTACAAGGTACTGAGCTTCTCTCAACTACGTTATACAAAAGATTGAAGATATAGAATATTTTGATAATAACGTTGCAGATCTATAGGATATAAATCCATTATGAGTAACACTAATGATATTGAAACTAAAAGTATGTAGAATTTGTGTCGAACTTTATATTTATTTAAATGATTTACATTGCTTTCTACCATGGTCTACTGAGATTCAGCCTGTTGTCGCTACCATTCATCAATTTTTTTTACTATTTTTTGCTCTGTTCTAAAGTAGATACGGTAGACAATGCCATGTTGGATTAAACACAAGTGTTAAAAAGAACGCGATTTGATGAAAAGAAGTATTTATGTAACAAAATCGTTTGGCACAATTAAAGACTGTTGACTGAAAACTGAGTCGAAAGAGTTTATATGCTTTCTGACTAGTGCAGGTTAAAAGGCTAGATAAAATTGTACAAATGATCATGAAAGTTATCAAGTAAAGGAAGTTTATTATGAATATCCACAACACTATCTAATCAATGATCTTTGGTATTGAGGAAGTAGGAAGGGAGAAAAGATGTCCTAGCTGATATTGGATTGGAGGATCTGACGACCGCGAAGTATGAGGAACAGTTCCAATGGCTGCCTGCCTCTGTCTGTAAGATGCCCAAGTTACCAAATAAAGCCCAGCTATAATGAGAAATCCTCCCAATATGCTGCAAATAACAGATTCATGAGTTCTTATCGTAAAGGATTCGCCTAAGAATAAGTAGAAGGTAGAAGTAAAGTAGAAAAGAAGATTATATGAGATAGTCAAATGTTCGAGTTTTTAGCCAAAATTATCCCTTATATTTGGGGATAGGCTTAACTTTGTTCTTTAAATATAACCGTGAGCACTATTTATCCTCTAAGTTTGCAAAACTTGGCACTTTTAACAAGAACCATCTCTAAATAAAGCAAATTTGATGTATGAAAAAAATGATTAAACGAATATGCTCATTTTCCAATGAAGGAGCTTTCAAAACTCTTTCGCCTTTGTAGTCCTCAATCCTCATTGTGCCAAAATTGTGAAGCATAACAAAGAGGAAAATGATAACAGGCATGCAAATGCACAAGTTTTGCTTTTAGGGGCAGTATGCTGACTCAAAAGAAATTAGAGCACTAACCTTCCAAGGTAAATCGGGCTCCCAAGGAAAACTCTTGATAGGAATGCTGAAGCAGCAGGTTGAAGTGGATTGTACAGAGCAACCATAGAAGGGCCAAGAATCTTGTTGCACCATGTCAACATCCCATAGTTCAGGGCAGAAGCAACAATACCCTGAAAAAATAGAAATTATGGTAGCTCAACTATTTTGTTTTCTCCACTAACTTAACCACTGTTCCTTCTTTTTTTCCAAAACGAATGCACATCCTAACCACAAGGGATGAGATATACAGATGGAGGAGAGAATCCACAATGAATCATTTAACATAAGCTTAATTAGATAAATTTTGGCATTCATAACATGGTTTGGCAGTAAATCCCTATCAATTGCCATTACTAAGTAGTCAATGATGATTGGAACTCTAGATAGCAATACCAGGGAAGAAAAGCATGAAGACCGTTAAAAGTGTCAGTTGTACACTAGATTGTATGCTATAAGGCACGCATTATATGCACATCAGTGATAGACTAGTATAATTCAAGGCATATCTTCTGCTGGTAAGATAGGAAGGAACTAAGCTTCAAGTTGAAAGAAAGCCACAACTTGAAGCGTAGCTCCTCCCTATCTTCAGTAGAATCCTTATTCACATTGAATAGAATTAGCTTTTTTTCATAATATAGGCAGTGAGAATGTAGTGCTTATGTCAGATTTACTACAAGAACAGTTGCGCCTCAATCCCAAGCTAACTGGTGTCGGCTATATGAAACCTCAACATCCATTTTGCTCCATTTGGACCTGTTTCGTTCCAATATTCAATAATTTGGGTTCTCTAATACTAGAGGTTCTCTACATTTTCTAATGATATACAAATCTATAAGAGGCTAAAAGGACTCCCATCAAAATCTGGAATTAATGTAAGCATACAAACATGATTATGCCGTAATCCCAACTAGTTGGTATTCGCCTATATAAACTTTTTGCTTCTATTGTGTTCTATTTTTGCTATGTCTGCATGGGTTCGAGATGGTAGATCCCTGAAAACAATTTCTTTTCTTGTGATTTTAGATCTACCTTATTTGTTTTTTACACTTTTTTTCAGCATATTATCATCTATGAGTGCCTGCTCACGGGTATGTTAATTATACTATTTTGTTCCATCCACAAGACGATCCGGGTTTCCTTAATGATTTTATATCCTTGTGATTTTTGACATTGTGCCTTGCAATAGCATCAAAATGGCTAAGAGAAGTACGATCAAACTGAAATTTGAGGATAAGCTATTGCCTTCTGCTTGAATTATCCTCTCACCTACCTAGATTTTTAGCATTAAGGAGCAAGCCTTGGTATTGCTCCTTCACAACTTTATGTTAAAAATACAGCATTTCCACTTTCTCCTAAAAAGGGAATTGTTGCAGAAACAAACTGCATTGAAAATGAAAATCGTTAATTTACTTGATTTGTCTTCCTATTGTAATTGAAGACATATTGTCCTCATCAACTTACGTCTCTCTTCTTAAATAGAAGTACTTTGATATAAAAAAAATTTTAAAAAAAAGGGGGGCGCATGTTGCTTAAGAGGAATCAAAGTTGACAAGGGCAGTTATGGCGGAAACGTTATTAATGAAAAGATTAGATGGAAAAAACTGAACTCATACTCTGATAGGAAGGGACTCGTTTTGCATAGCTCGTAGCAAAAGTTAAAGGACAGTCTACACAAAAACTTTTGATTCACGCGTGATCAAAATTGAAGATGAGGCTCAAGAGCTATGATATATCGGTAAATTGATATAAAAGACAAAAGAAAGGGAATAAGAGTAATCATCACTTTTTATTCCTGTCTTCTTGGTTGGAGCAAGGGAAACAAAAGAGATGCATCCATAATTTGTTTTCAAATGCTACGATCGGAGAAGATAGAAATATGGAGAACATAAAAGAGAAATAGACCTAGATGCCAAAGAGATAGAGTAACGATTCATTTAGGAAGTCTTTGCCCTCCGAAATCCAATGCATTTACTTTTCAAGACATTCTGTAGGGAAGCGGGAGGCAGCAAGCTGAACACTTATCCATTTGGAGGCTGCGGCGAATTTCACTACTGCTCCTTTGACCCATTGAGCCAAACCATAGCATATTCAATAATCCATTTAAATCATATATCGATCAGGCATGGTGTTCTTGAAATTGCAGCAGCTTAATGTATCTTATATCTTTTCTAGCTGACATGTCATTATAACTTGAAACTAGGGACAAAGACAGTAATTAAAACCTGCTTCAGAACAGAAACTATAAGGGAATGAAGAGAATCTTACGGCATAGCACACAGCGAAAACTTCCGATTGTGTCAAGTTCCAGTCTGTTGACTCATTAGTCATCGAGAAGGCTGTTGCTATCATTAAAAGACAACCAAAAAAGTAGGAATATGCTGTCACTGATATACTCGCAGGGTATTTTGCCAAAACTGGAGCCTGAAAAATTCTTAATATTCAGCCAACTCAGCATATTTGAAAACAATACAAACAGAATAGTTTTTATCAGACAAGGTCAAGGGTCTTCCAGATAATGCTTCAACAATGCCAAGGTCTAAACTATCTAACAATGAACATTATGCACCAACCAACTATAGATTATTTTGGTTAGAAACTATCATTTTTTTTCAAACAAAGCTATTATTTGTTATTAAATCATATAATAATCAAAGATCTAAATACTCAGCATCACTTGCAATCAAACGAAAAGAGGCCTAAAATTAAGTTCGAAGGTGTCAAATAAGTGTTTGGTGACTTTGGTCTGATCAGTAGAAATTAATGGTTCACAAACCCTATTTTCATTGACATTCATGCACAATTTACCGTAATTTCAGTCACATGCCAAATTTTTATCCCTAAAGTAACAAAGTGTGAAGGGGTCTCATTGAATTCAGACTGTCAATCTTAGGAACGAGTATATGTACTCAACAAAAGCATGCGAAATCACATTAGCCACATGTTGTTCAAGGAAGTGGTCATTGTCTCATTGACTATAGAACCTGTTTTTTTAAATTTACTTTTTTCATAACCAAGAAATCCCCGAGGCCAGTGGCGACTGCCGACTGGCGCACGGTTCGAAACTCAGTGGATAATGGGCCTAAAACTGTTGTATATTTTAGCAGGTATATATTGCTGTGCAGCTTTTAAGTTTGGTTACTGAGAAATATATCTTGTTTTCATCGAGTCTATTGAAATCAATGAAGGGGAAAATTTTACCAAACTACCTGGATGGCTAAGTATGCCGCCATGCACATACAGTTTCCTATTAAGCATAAAACTCCAAGGTGCCAATCATCGAACCCCAACTCCAGAAATCTTGACATTAACCATCCAGTGGGCTCTGGCTGACCCCTAGCACTTATATCACTATGTCCTATGAATTCTGAGTCTCTGTTTCCAAAAACCACAGGTCCACGGAAGATGGCCATTAAAATAGCCCCAGAAACACAAACAATTGTACCTCCAACCTTTGCTTGACCTTCCACTGTAAAGAGCTTCACTGTTTCTGTACTGCATAAAATTACATTTAAGAGTAAATTTGAACAGATCATCAACTACAACAGACAACTGGATGTGCAAATACATGAAAATAACACAAAATAGAAGGTGGTAGATTGAGGATGACAGCCACTTTGTCGACAAGATTGCCAAGCAGAGAAGAATAACAAAGAATCTACAGATGAGTATCAAGGGTGTCAATTTTAGCATGCTTTTATTACTAAAACTTAATGATAAAACTGCAAAATGTCACAAGTAAATAGGTCAAATAGCAATAAAAGAATGGATACCTTGACTACCACTCTCCTTAGATAAATGAAATGCTTCAAGACAAGAATAGTTAGCAGGTCTTCTCTTACATCTTCAGAAAATATCCCAGAAATAATTTGTTCTGAAACCAATTTTTTTGGTGGAAAATGTAGGAAGCAATACAATGTGCATAGCTGCATAGATTCCTTCTTTTTTAAGAAGCAGTCAACGGCGAAAGAGTTTAGCATCCCTTTCAACAACTATGTTCATATTTTCCTGTAAAGTGCCCCTATATCTACCGATTATGTGGATTCCCACCATCTTTAAAGTTACTGAACCGGTTCATCTATACTACTTTGACTGCAATAGAACTATAATAGTGGAACTTCATATAAACACCAAACATGTTATCTTACTCTGTACGAAGAGCAGTCTCATCCGATGAACCTGTTATATAACTTTTTTATAGCTAATCCTTAATAAAAGTTTGTAGATATCCAAAAATAATATTGAAAACACAGTTATGAACTATAAAAGTTTTAACCTCGCTGCCGTACACTTGTAAGACACAGAGTATCATATTTATGGAAATCCTGATTCTCATTCTAGGTGTGAAAATTAGTGTCGTGTATTACTAATTCAATTTAGACAAAGCCATTTCAGGTTTTCTTGAAGAATACAATAATATCAGCTTATAGCATTTCATCCTAAAGAGACACAAGATTCCAAGTCCCCCTTCTCCAACTTCCAGTACAAAATTATCCACAATTGATTACAGAAATATATATGAATTTAGAGTGAAAGAGACACAGATACAGAATTCAAAGAAAGGGGGTTGATTTCTTACTGACCCCATCAATACTGCAAATATGAATGTAAAGACTGGTACTGCAGGTTGCACGGCCGCAGCATAAGTTGGATTTGTGTAGCCAAGACCAAAAAGAAACAAAAGTTGGTTCCCAAAAATACTGTTGCAGTTGGCAAGAAACAAGAAAAATATCTAAAAATCAGGTTTTTGTTCAGTGTAAGAATTATACAAGTTAATCGCACAAATCTACTCAGAACAGTAGGCACATCAAACTTACCCGGTTAATCCTAGAATGAAGAATGATAGTAGAAGCCGCTTATTTAAAGGAATTCTTGACCGCCTAGACATAGAATGGAAGGAAATATTATTAGTGTTGCACCATGTACTTTCTGATATTGCAATTAATTTAAAAAAGAACTTCAAAATTTTGAAAAATGCTTTAGATGCTGACATTTAATAAAAATTAAAAAAAATGTTTCAAGTAGTGCAAAGAGGACTAACACAAAGCAAGAAATAAATTTCACATTTAAACAAATATGTATAAACAATGATATCAGATAATAAATGAGAGAGCAAAAGCTAGAGACATGAGCAACAATTTCAAGTAAAAGAGATATTACTCATAATATCAACAAAGAATTCTTTATGTGAAGTCCGAGAACGTATACGCATGATATGAGTATTTTTAAAATGAATGTATCCATATGTTATGTTTGTCGAAAAAAATTGCTTCACTAAAAAAAACATTCTTGAGCAGCAAGACCCTCAATCGGGCTTTCGTTGCCATTTTACTGAATCTAATAGCTCTTTCTTTAGATCCATCTCACACATCAAGATAAGCAAGTCAGCATTCATTTTGAGAGCTTGTGATGAGTCCATACTGTTATAGGGTTTCATTCTCAAATCTTCAAATGGGAGAATAGCAGAATAATTTCAGGTGTAATCATAGTGGATTACCAAGTCAATTAGCAATGGAACGCAATAAGTTCAAACTGAATTCAGAAATTATCTTAAACCATCAAAATGGTCAACTAGAAGCACATAAAGGAAAGATGAAAATAACAACATAATTCTTTTATGAAACATTAACCAAACTTTTAAGACAAAAATTAGCTTTTACTACAGAAACTCAAGATGCAACACCGGTTGGCATGAGGTAAACAAGCTCAGGCAGTCGACCAGACTCTCACAAGTCATAAACACATACTAGTAGACATTGTAGCAAAATAGTTTCAGTAAATCTAGAAATAATATTTTTTTAACATGAATAGTAGAAAGAACGGAACATGAATTAACTACGAATAACATCTGTTATTAAGTATGCATCTGCCTGTCCATGCCTTCCACAAATTTTAACATTCTTTAATATACAAATCAATGCAAACACCTTTTGAGGAATATTATGAAGGGATGAAAAGAGTTTAATGGTTGTATCTCATTAGGGGTGGGGAAGGGTGCAGGGTTAGTTTACGGGGGGACAGGTGGTATGAGGACAGCATGTTGCTGATTACTTTTCCAAACATCTACAACATTTCGTGCCAAAAGGAGATGACAATGCAACAAGCTTGGAGATTACATGAGGGGAGCGTTACATGGGATCTCAAATTTAGAAGGAACCTTCAGGATTGGGAGATAACGGAGTTTTGCTCTATAAACAAACTTTAATGGTAGACAATCAGGATTCCTGGAAATAGGTGTTTGCGAGCAGTTGACGATTCTCAGTAAAAAGACTACTGCAAGTAGCTAGCTAGAGAGAAATCGAATTGCTCATTTATCGGTTTGGATCCCTAGGGTGCCAGAAAAAGAATGTTTTTTTGGCTTGGTTTGGCATCTAGAGGTGCAATTCTGACAGACAAAAACTTGAGGAAGAGTGAGATTACATATGTTAGTTGGTGTCTGTGTAAACACTCAGGAGAGGACGTGGATCATTTAACTGCATGTAGCATTATGTCTATGGTAGGAGATCTTAAGATGGTCCGGGATACAATGTACCGAGCTAGGTACTATGAAGGATGCACTATTCAATTAGGCCTTTAGAGGACCAGAGAGAAGACAACTGGCTTTGAACATTGCTCCAGTAGCACTTATGTGGACAGTATGGAGGGAGAGAAATAGGAGAGATTTGAATGGGAAGAGCTTGATTTTACACATTTGAGGAATACCCTCCTTATTTTAATGTTTTTCTGGTGCACCCATGAGGTTCCTATTTGTATATAAGATTGGGTGTGTTTCGTAGAGAATCATATCTCTCCGTACATTCTCTACCTTTCTCATATGCCTCTTGGATACTGGAGTTTTTTCCCCATTAATAATAAAATTGCATTTTACTTGATCAAAAAGAAATAAATCAATGCAAAAATCTTCCACCAAATATAATTGCAAAAGTTGGCTCAATGTAAAATCATAATCCATGTCCCCAAGAGTATGGCTAAATAGTCGAGGCATAGGAGTAACAACCTGGGGATCCTAGGTCCAAATCCTAGCTGCAAAACTTGGTGTAAGCTCATTTGCTCCATCTTGGTAAATAGGTTTATCCAATACAAGACAGATTTACCCCATACCTATGCTAGTGAGCAATAACATGCTTAGTGAATTAGTCAAAATCTTGACCCAAACACCACAGCTTAGTACTAAAACAATATGTCTGCATAAATAGATACATTCTTGGATAATAGATTCAAGAGCAACATAGAGAAAAAGGGACTAACTTTTCGCGAACATAGGCGACAGGGGCAAGAATGGAGAGAGCAAGAAGATCCCGATATAAGCAGAAGACAATTTGATTCATTCCAACATTGAGAGCCACTTTGGTAATTACATGGTACCCACCATACAGTAGCTGTATCATAGCCATTGCTCCATGAGCTCTCCATACCTCATTCCCATTCCCCACTGAAACTGCTGCCATCTTTATCATCTCATCCCACTGTATAAACACTTTTATATATTCCTATATATGTATACCAAAAAGGTTATGGGATTGTGATTGTGATTGTGATTGTGGAATTGGTGAAAAATAGTGATGTTTGGTGTGATGGGGTAGAGTGATTCTTGATAATAAAGGTAAATAGAATGAACAGAAGACGTGAATTTTCTTACAGATTTCAGTTCTCACGTTGTTTTCCTGATTGGGGTTTTTCTTTTTGCTGTTCGGTCAGAACCAAGATTTAAGTTGGTGTTTCAACCAATTGTAGTGCCCCACATCGTACATCTGCATCTCTCTTGCCAAATTTTAAGTCTTTCACTTTCTTAAAGCTAAAATGTCAATCATAGATATAAGAGTGGGGCTAAGATGTACTCCTAGGTAGGAGAATAAAGAATTACTCCTACTTTGTTCTATTTAGGTATTTTTTGGACATAAGGAATATCTAGGTTTCTGTAATTAGATTCTACCAAAGGAGAGACAAATAAACTTTCTAGTATTTGTTTTGAGAGAGAAATATACATTTGCTCAAGAAATAAGTTATATATTGACACAGCGATGAATTTTTAATATTATAAATGTAATTTAACATGCTTTATTTATTTTAAGTTATCAATTAATATTACTCAATATATTTCAATTACATGTTTACTTTCCTTTTTAATTTATGTGGAAAAATGTCACTCTATTTATTTAGTAGTAACTCTTTTAATTCCAAAAATCCCAGATTATGTGTTAAATACTGCAGGATTCGAGTGGCACATAGATACATTATACATATCTCTATTAGGTTTATTACAATTACTAGAAGGGAGAGTGAGATCCAAAAGATGAAAATGATAGTTTGCAAAAAAAACATATTCTTAATAGCTTAGAACAATTTTTGTAAGATTTTCTTGAGGAATGTTCTTTTGAACTGTGTTGTATTTGATGTATTTTCCGTTTTTGATGCTTTTTGGTTATGATCAATTTGAAAATGCTTTAGATTTGTTTGTAGATGATGACTAAACTATCAATTGCCCAAAAACAAGGTTAATACTTGAACAGGTTGATTCCCTACAATTTTGAGATGCACACTTTAACGTTTGCTGAAAAATCTTGTATGAAATTTATTTTTATTTTTTTAATAAGCCTTATACGATGTGAATCCAAATTAATCAGAGCTCTAATGTAATTCCGAATACATCAAAAAAAAACCTTACAATGTTAGGCGCGTGGCAGCATACTATCTAGTACGTACTTCTATAAAAGTTAAATATACTCAATCGTGCCCAACCGTTGCTTCAATGAAAGTTCCACGTTTCACTGATATTGTTTTCAAGACTAATTAAAGCTCGGTAACGTAACTTGAATTCTTCTCAAATAATATAATCATTAAATAATATTATGCTGATGTGTGAGAAAATTATAAGAAATTTTACCTTTTATAGCAAACTATTACACCTTATTTATTATAAATCAAACTAATTTCAAAATATTATTATTTATAGCTACTTTTTCTATTTTATAATAAAATAGATATTTATTTATACCTAAAATTAAGGCATGAAATAGGCCAATTATATTCTTTTTCTCTCTTTCTTCTCTCTATCATCAAGATTGTCAATCCTCTGTCTTCCCCTTCAAAATTTTCTTTTAGTTATCCTTTTCTGGTGACTGGAAAACCGTGCAAGCATACTTGATTTAATTTCAATCCTTTTCTAATTTTCTGACTTTCCCAACCGAAAGAAGAACAAGAATTGAAAAAGAGGAAAATATAGAACATTTAATCTAGCCATGGCTACAAGCAGAAGATTTGAGGGTTGAGTTTTTGTTCGTCTCCATTTTTAGTTTTAATACAATGTATTAGGGGTGTACAAACCGAAACGAAAAATCGCACCAAACCGATTAAAAAATCCGATTTGGTTTGATTTGATTTGGTTTGGTATTGAGTAAAAAAAAATCTGAACCAACCCGACATATAAATATATAATTTTTATATATACTTTTAAGATTTTATATAGAATTTTCTTTTAAAAATGTCTAGCAATATTTGGGATTCTCTTGCGGGATATAAATTTTAATAGAATATGAAGTGCTCCATATTTATTGACCTTAAATAATAGGTTGAATGATCACTTTCTTATCAAGTGTTACTGAAATACGTTTATCTCTTTGTTCTTCCATATTCAAATCATATGTTAAGATCTATTAAATTCTTATATCTTTTTCGAATGTGAAGTAATTATTAATATTTATGTATCATATTGATTTTTATGTTTAATTACTAAATTTGGTTAACCTGAAAGTGTACATCAACGAAAAATTATTGTCAGACGACTAAACAAATAACTATTATGTGTTACTAATAGAATTCTCCTATAAGAATATTTTAATCGATAATATATTCGTCAATGTTTTATATTTTTACTAAATATATATTTACTTATCAAATATTTAACAAAGTAAGATTGATGTAACGACCCGACAGGTCGTTTTGGGCATTTATGCTCCTTTCTACTATTTGAAATTTTGAATACCTTCATATGATGTATTATGACTTGTGTGAATTGTCGGTTTTGGTTTTCAGGTATTTCGGAGTTAGTTTGGAAGAATAAAATCCAAGGCTTAAAGCTTAGGTTAAAATAGTGACCGGATATCGACTTATGTGTAAATGACCCCAGAATAGAGTTTTGATGATTCCAATAGCTCCATATGGTAATTTTGGACTTAGGAGCGTATCCGTAAAATTATTTGGAAGCCCGTAGCTAAATTAGGCTTGAAATGGCTAAAATAGAAATTTAATTTTGAAAGTTTGACCGGGGAGTTGACTTTTTGATATCGGGGTCGGAATCCAATTCTGAAAATTAGGATACCTCCATTATGTCATTTATGACTTGTGTGCAAAATTTGAGGTCAATCAGACTTGATTTGATAGGTTTCGGCATTGAAGGTAGAAGTTGGAAATTGTTAGTTTTTCATTAGGCTTGAATTGGAGTGTGATTTGTGTTTTTGATGTTGTTTGATGGGATTTGAGGGCTCTACTAAGTTCGTATGATATTTTAGGACTTGTTGGTGTATTTGGTTGAGGTCCCGAGGGCCTCGGGTGAGTTTCGGATGGTTAACAGATCAATTTTTAGACTTGGAATGATGCTGGAATTTTTCTAATATCTGTATCGGGTTTCCTTCTATGCGATCGCGTGAGAAGGTCTGCGACCGCGTAGGGTTAATTGGGGCTGCTGAGTTGTGTTCTATGCGATCGCGTGGGGAGAATCACGATTGCGTAGCTGGGAAGAGAGAATGCATCGCGAACGCATGGGCAACGCCGCGTTCGCGAAAAGGAAGTAAGGCACCATGGGGGTCACGCAAAGTTGCTCTTCGCGATCGCATAGATCAGTCTGCAATCGCGTAGGTTTGTGCATTAGTGATCCACGTTCGCGTGGATTCAACGGCGTCCACGAAGGCCAAATTTGGGGGCAGTTTCTTTTGTGCTTCGCGATCGCGTGAACTAATCCGCGATCGCATAGGGTCAATTTTTGGCAGTGGAAATGTGTGCTTCGCGATCGCGGGACTTGGCCCGCGATCGCATAGAAGAAATGACTGGGCAGAGAGTTTTAGTTCTGAACTTCTCCCCATTTTCCATTTTTACCAATTTGGATCTCGAGAAGAGGCGAGTTTTGGGAGATTTTAAAGGAAAACAACGGGGTAAGTGTTCGTAACTCAATATTGGTCAAATTACCCGAATTCATGATTATTTTTAACATTTAATTGGTAAATTAAATTGGAAAATTGTGAAAACTCTCTTGGTTTAATTTGCAGATTTGAGGGTCGAGTTGATGTCGGATTTGAGAAAAATTTATATGGTTGGACTCGTGGTTGAATGGGCGTTCATATTTTATAACTTTTGTGGGGTTCCGAGACGTGGTCCCCACGGGCGATTTTTAGAGTGTAATTTCGGATTTTGTGGGAAAATATTAGTATTTTGATATGAAATTAATTACTATAAATTGTGTGGACTGAATCAAATTTATTGTGGCTAAATTCGAGCCGTTCAGAAGTTGATATGCGCAGAATGGGATTTCTGGAGCATTGTTGTCACGACCCAATTTCCCCTCCGTTTGGGTATCATGATGGCACCTAGTCTTAAGGACTAGGTAAGCCTAACAATAATTAAAACAACAACATTATTTAAATAGAATCTCTTACAATTTCTAAAACCGGTAGTACAAGTCATAAGCTCTACAGAGTATTTGCTAGAAAACTTCTAAATACAACTGTCCAAAAATAAGAATAAACAGTGTAAAACGAAAAGTTGAAGGTGACTCCGAAGCCTACGAACGCGGCGGTAGGTTTACCTTGAGTCTCCGCAACAACAGTCCACACAGCTAGCTAACGAACAATTACCCGTATCTGCACAAAAACCAATGTGCAGAAGAGTAGCATGAGCACACCACAGCGGTGCCCAGTAAGTATCAAGACTAACCTCGACGGAGTAGTGACTAGGAACAGTCAAGACACTCACTGGTCTAATAAACTAAACAGGTACAAGTATATGAGCAGCAGAAGTATGATGTCTACATAAAGACTATGCAATATGGCTCACAGTACAGTAATGGCAATAAGAAAGAAAACAACCAGTGTCAGCAAAATATCATGAAAATGACACAGAAAAATGAATGGAACCCAACCTAAATCCGGAATCACAAATACAGCGAGGACAAGTAATAACTCAGCAACTACAACCGCTTTTACATCAGGTTTTGGCCAACAACTCCACGAGGTACCGAACCTCGAACAATTCACAACTCACGGGCCTCAATACCTGAACCCTAACACTTGGCATATTGTGCCCTCATAACACCTCATAACCGCACTGACGACTCACGTGCCAATAGAGCCATTCTCACATAGAAGGCAAGTAAACAAGGGTGAGCATCTATGCTAAACAATATCAAGAAAACCTCTTATCCGATAAGAGTGCTTAACTACGTGTATGCTTATGCAAGTATCCTACCATAGTCCATACCAGCAAATAAGCATAAAGAAAAAGAACGGACAGCACGTAGAATATTTTCTCACAGCTTTCACAAGATAAAGCTCACACAGGTATGTATACCACTTCACAAATATCAACAACAAGAATGCTGCCAGGCCACAAATCATCACAAATCAATCCCTGACACAGCCCACCTTGTCTCGCCACGTGTGCAATAGTAACATAAATGCCCGCCTTGTCTCGCCACACGTGCATAATAATGTTTCCACATTATCTCGCCATATGTGCAACCCACATATATATATACATATCACGCCTTGTCACGCTGCATGTGAAAATATCAATGGTAATAATAGCACGACAGAAATCCCGTGCAA